AATAACCCATGCCAATAACAGATGAGTTGAGAATAACCCATGCCAATAACAGATGAGTTGAGAATAACCCATGCCAATAACAGATGAGTTGAGAATAACCCATGCCAATATCAGATGATTTGAGAATAACCCATGCCAATAACAGATGATTTGAGAATAACCTATGTCAATAACAGATGATTTGAGAATAACCCATCTCAATAACAGATGATTTGAGAATAACCCATGCCAATAACAGATGAGTTGAGAATAACCCATGCCAATATCAGATGATTTGAGAATAACCCATGCCAATAACAGATGATTTGAGAATAACCTATGCCAATAACAGATGATTTGAGAATAACCCATGCTAATATCAGATGATTTGAGAATAACCCATGTCAATAACAGATGATTTGAGAATAACCCATCTCAATAACAGATGATTTGAGAATAACCTATGCCAATAACAGATGAGTTGAGAATAACCCATCTCAATAACAGATGAGTTGAGAATAACCCATGCCAATATCAGATGATTTGAGAATAACCCATCTCAATAACAGATGATTTGAGAATAACCCATGCCAATATCAGATGATTTGAGAATAACCCATGCCAATAACAGATGATTTGAGAATAACCTATGCCAATAACAGATGATTTGAGAATAACCCATGCTAATATCAGATGATTTGAGAATAACCCATGTCAATAACAGATGATTTGAGAATAACCCATCTCAATAACAGATGATTTGAGAATAACCTATGCCAATAACAGATGAGTTGAGAATAACCCATCTCAATAACAGATGAGTTGAGAATAACCCATGCCAATATCAGATGATTTGAGAATAACCCATCTCAATAACAGATGATTTGAGAATAACCCATGCCAATATCAGATGATTTGAGAATAACCCATGCCAATAACAGATGATTTGAGAATAACCTATGCCAATAACAGATGATTTGAGAATAACCCATCTCAATAACAGATGAGTTGAGAATAACCCATACCAATAACAGATGAGTTGAGAATAACCCATCAGATGATTTGAGAATAACCTATGCCAATAACAGATGATTTGAGAATAACCCATGCTAATATCAGATGATTTGAGAATAACCCATGCCAATAACAGATGATTTGAGAATAACCTATGCCAATAACAGATGATTTGAGAATAACCCATCTCAATAACAGATGAGTTGAGAATAACCCATACCAATAACAGATGAGTTGAGAATAACCCATCAGATGATTTGAGAATAACCTATGCCAATAACAGATGATTTGAGAATAACCCATGCTAATATCAGATGATTTGAGAATAACCCATGCCAATAACAGATGATTTGAGAATAACCTATGCCAATAACAGATGATTTGAGAATAACCCATCTCAATAACAGATGAGTTGAGAATAACCCATACCAATAACAGATGAGTTGAGAATAACCCATCTCAATAACAGATGATTTGAGAATAACCCATGCCAATAACAGATGATTTGAGAATAACCCATACCAATAACAGAGGAGTTGAGAATAACCCATGCCAATAACAGATGATTTGAGAATAACCCATACCAATAACAGAGGAGTTGAGAATAACCCATCTCAATAACAGATGATTTGAGAATAACCCATCTCAATAACAGATGAGTTGAGAATAACCCATCTCAATAACAGATGAGTTGAGAATAACCCATGCCAATATCAGATGATTTGAGAATAACCCATGCCAATAACAGATGATTTGAGAATAACCTATGTCAATAACAGATGATTTGAGAATAACCCATCTCAATAACAGATGATTTGAGAATAACCCATGCCAATAACAGATGAGTTGAGAATAACCCATGCCAATATCAGATGATTTGAGAATAACCCATGCCAAAAACAGATGATTTGAGAATAACCTATGTCAATAACAGATGATTTGAGAATAACCTATGTCAATAACAGATGATTTGAGAATAACCCATCTCAATAACAGATGATTTGAGAATAACCCATCTCAATAACAGATGAGTTGAGAATAACCCATGCCAATATCAGATGATTTGAGAATAACCCATCTCAATAACAGATGATTTGAGAATAACCCATGCCAATATCAGATGATTTGAGAATAACCCATGCCAATAACAGATGATTTGAGAATAACCTATGCCAATAACAGATGATTTGAGAATAACCCATCTCAATAACAGATGAGTTGAGAATAACCCATACCAATAACAGATGAGTTGAGAATAACCCATCTCAATAACAGATGATTTGAGAATAACCCATGCCAATAACAGATGATTTGAGAATAACCCATACCAATAACAGAGGAGTTGAGAATAACCCATCTCAATAACAGATGATTTGAGAATAACCCATCTCAATAACAGATGAGTTGAGAATAACCCATCTCAATAACAGATGATTTGAGAATAACCCATGCCAATAACAGATGATTTGAGAATAACCCATACCAATAACAGAGGAGTTGAGAATAACCCATCTCAATAACAGATGATTTGAGAATAACCCATCTCAATAACAGATGAGTTGAGAATAACCCATCTCAATAACAGATGAGTTGAGAATAACCCATCTCAATAACAGATGAGTTGAGAATAACCCATCTCAATAACAGATGAGTTGAGAATAACCCATACCAATAACAGATGAGTTGAGAATAACCCATCTCAATAACAGATGAGTTGAGAATAACCCATGCCAATAACAGATGAGTTGAGAATAACCCATCTCAATAACAGATGAGTTGAGAATAACCCATACCAATAACAGATGAGTTGAGAATAACCCATATCAATAACAGATGAGTTGAGAATAACCCATACCAATAACAGATGAGTTGAGAATAACCCATCTCATTAACAGATGAGTTGAGAATAACCCATCTCAATAACAGATGAGTTGAGAATAACCCATCTCAATAACAGATGAGTTGAGAATAACCCATCTCAATAACAGATGAGTTGAGAATAACCCATACCAATAACAGATGAGTTGAGAATAACCCATCTCAATAACAGATGAGTTGAGAATAACCCATACCAATAACAGATGACAAACCCTTCTCACTCACATTAATTTAATACATGTAAACACCTGTAATAGCAAGATATATATTATTATAAAAACAAAAGGCATACCTCAATTTCAAAGCTTTGTGCTCCATGTCTTTTGGCTCCTGTGGTTTGATGAAGTTGAAATAAAATTTTCCTTTTGATGTTGTTCCATTAAGTAAAGCCATTAAAAATGTATAATTTGTAATAATCATTGAGTTGATTTAAGTTTTAACATGATATATATTTGGATACCGGTATTCAAGTTTGTGTGTGTGTGTGTGTTTTTTTGTTGTTGTTGACAACTCTAAAAAAAAAATATATGCTGCACAGTTTGACTTTCATCAGCATTTGGTCTGTAAAAATATAATTTTTTCTTCAATTTTTCAAGTGTCTTAAATTAAAATGTTTGTATTTTTAGACCAGCGTCAAGACAATATTATTGAACTTCAAACAAACACAATAAAAGTAATAAAAATAAATAAATACAAATCCAGGTACTTTTTCCACATTGTGTGTTGGTAATTTTATTTGCAATAGATTACTCATTACTGGTCCTGCCTCCGCACACTGAGATATCTAGCACACACATAAGCAGTGAAGAGTAATTTACCGCACCAGGTAAATGACAAAATGTGACCCAACCCCTGTAGCAGGAGTCCACAAAGAAAAATTTCAAGTGTGCTGATTCTGTCAGTCGTATACATTCATTAAATAATTTCATAACATAATATTTTAAAAAAAAATTGTATATTAATTATATTTGACAGTTTGGTCACATCCCAAAAATCAAGACAAAAGCCATACACATTTTTCATCCCGACACAGCTTTTCACAAGCGTACAGCATCATGGGGGCCAAATGTACAATCTTTACTAAAAGGTTTTAACACAACTCAGCCTTTTTTGCCAGCAAAATCAATTTAAAAAAAAAATCAAAACAAGTTATTTCAATTTCACTAATACTACAGTAGCCTTCCTGTGATGATGGCCTTCTACAGTGTTCCTCAAAATGACCCACCCACACTCCATTTGACACAAACAATACAGTAGCCTTCCTGTGATGACGGCATCCTGCAGAGTCGCTCACAATTACACACCCATACTCCATTTTTGACACAAGGATTTTGCAAATTTAAACTACCCTAACAACTGAGAATAAATAATATAATTAAACAACCAACACACTAATATTTCTTTAAAAAATATACCTTCATATTTACAACAATTTTTGTGCTTTTAATTTAAAATAAGTATAATTTAAATAAATAAAAATTAAAAAAAAATGTTTAATCTGTTCCCTTGAATTTATCTCATGCTACACATGATTCTGTCTGCATTACTCATTATGTCATTAGTTACTCAGTTGGCAAATAAATTATTCAGGTAGACAGAATGATAAATTACCCCTTCTTTTCCTTAAATGCACTTAGTGTGGCATGGGCCATTCACAAATTCTTTCCATTTACCTTTGTTCTAAATTTCTATTTCACACTCCTTCTGGCTCTTTCCCACTTCTGTATCCAGGTACTTTTTCCACTTTCACTGTGGTCTTTCTCTTTTTCTATTTCCTTGTGTATTATTCCACAACTCTGTCTAGTGATATTTTCTTTTTATTTTCAGAAATGGGCTAACCATTGCCATTTCTGTTATTCCTGCTCCACAGCAACTTCTCAATCTTTCTGAGTTGGGATATTTTTTTTCCCAATCCAGTTATTTACCAACTGTGTCACAAAATTATTTTTATAAAATAGTTATTGCTTTGATCATGTGCTTTTAAAAAGTTTGTTCACTCACATAATGAACTCAACCTTTGAATCGTTTCTTCAGCTGGCAGAAATCTTTATGTGAGAAAATCCAAACATGCTCGACTGCTTGCCAAGCAACATTCACAGTGAGACATAACTTCATAAATGCAAATATTTCATAAAGTGACTCATAGGGTTTTCAAATCTTTGGACGTTATCTCAACCTCTTTGATTAATGCCTGAAGTAGTTAACCTCTAACTCCATCAGTTTGAGGAGTGCTCAAGTTGGCTAACTTCTAGCTCCATGACCAAAGTAGGTAATCTCTGTCTCAAACTGTTCACCAAAGCTATAAGTGTTTTCAGTCTAAAATCTATCAACATTTGTGGTAAAAACTAACGACGCATCAGACCATTCTTAAATGTTTGTTTTATTGAAACGTTCACTCCCCCCCCCGCCTTTTTACATCTAAAATATCTGAGCATTATACATACATTTTTTTTTTTTTTAATTCATAAATGTCACTATAGTTGTTAACTGGGAAATTTGTTGCAGGATAAATTAATTGTTTGTGGTACGTTAGTGGATATTAGATCTGTCTCTTCCTGGCAATGTTTTATAGCACCTTCCTTCGCATTGGATGCTGCCAAAGTTTTGTCATGATTATTTTTTTCAACAAGACCACGGCTTTCCCTGAGTGCTGCAAGTCTCAGTTTTTCCTTTTCAACATTGGTTCTTTTCTTTATATTGTGCCCTGCACATAGAAAAATTAGTAACACTATTAATACTAATACTTATCAATAGCTGCAAAAAAATATTTAAAAAAAAAAAGATAATGCATAAAGTTATTTTTTTAAATCTGATTTGAACAAGCCATAAGAAAAACGTTGAAATAATTGAAAAAGATAATGAAACATATATTCATGTAGTCAGCCAACAAAGAGTTGGTTGTAATAGAAAGATGAATGCAGCAGCACATTTAAATTAACTAGATAAATGTATCAACACTTCTTATGCCAAACTCTCAAAAGCTATTTTACATAAAATTAAAAACCTCAGATATTTATTTATATTAAAAAAATAATAATTTTGAGCTGCATTGCATTTAATAAAAACTGGTATCAGTATCAGTGGTTTTATAACCAAATATTAACACAGGTAGAGCTTAAAACTCATCATGCAGGCAAATTTACATGAGATTACTTCCCTGATCACAAAAACTATTTTCATTTCAATACTTGACCCACCTGAACAGTTGAGAATTTCTAAATTGGCTTTAGCTTTGCAGCATCCCTTGCATAGACCATATTCACATTTTAAACCCTGAAAATAACACTGGGTTAATATTTCTATATACATAATCTTCACACATTGATCTTTTTTTTTTTTTTTTGGGTGGTGGGGGGAAGAGGGCACTGAAAACAGAATTGTTTCTTTAAAATAGCTGGACTTTGGCCACTCTACCTGACACCTCAACTTATTGAAAAGGACTCTCAAATCTCAAAACCACCAGCAGACATGATTGATGCCAGCAGCAGCATTTCGGTACTTTCACTATTTCACAGGTCCACAGCTGAAAGTGAGCAGGCCCACTCAAATGTCCATCTTTATGGTTTTAACACAGGTGTTACAGCAGTAGTGGACTCAAAACTATTTTCCTAATTTACACATCTTTATCTAACTCCAAGTTTAAGATGGGATGCCTACTTCTCAAGCTTAAACATATTACTTTATCTGGATTAGTAAATAGGGGATCTTGTCACCAAATTTAGCACTGCATCGACTTCATTGTAGTATTACCTCAAATTTTTCCATTTTCCCCTGAGCTATTCCATCTTGCCCCGCATTAATAGCATCATAATCATTACCAATAGGTAGAAGTTTAAATTTTTAAAAAAAGTATTCACAAAGATCTAAATTAAGCCCAAGCTCCAACAAATTAAAAAAATTTTCTAGGTTACATGACAGGTGGCTTTCGCACATACCTTAGGGTTGAGACAGATGCTGCAAGTTTCAAATTTCAACTTTTGGTCAGGATCAAAATTTTTGCTGGGACATTTCAGTCTTTTCTTAAGTTTGTTATTGGAGAGTCCCACATCCCCAGCGCTGACTTTCTGCATGTCCTCAGCCCGCTTCAGATTAAGCCTTTGTCGGAGCGCTTTATGCTCTGCATCGCTCTCTTCCTCGGGACTGCAGGAAAACATAATAAGTGTCTAATAGCAATGTGCTAAATGTTAATATCATTACATCCGCCATGTGAAAACTGTTTAGCTGCATCTGTATACATTTTAAATTTCCTATGTAGAATTTAACACATTCCATATTTTAAAAGATTTAAAAAAATTAACATTAGCTTTTTAGATTTTGAAACACTACATAATAATTTTGAGTGTCAAATCTTAACGTTTTTTCTTACCTGGGTCGCACATAAGGTTGACAAATCCAGTAAGGCAATGGTAGCTTTAATTTAGTTGTAAATAAGTCAGGCTCTTTCTCAAATCGTTCAATGTCTTTCTGATGAGGTACCGTATAAAGAAATTTACTCTAAATCTGAATTCGCCAGTCCTTGTTATTTACATATTTTTAGGACACTTGAAATTTTCAAAGTGGAACCCTTAATTTTGGCTTGTAATTGTAATGCTTTTTAACTCAATAAATTTAATGAAATATTTATAAATAAAGCCTTTTCATGTTAGTTTTTAATGAAAGTCAAAACCAATTAAATTAAGTGCACTATTGAGGGAAAAATGAAGGTTACAAAACACATTTTGACTACAGTAATATTGCTTTAAGGACTTGTTTCAAAATTTGAAGACGGAATTCCAACCTACCTGACAAACAACTCTGATAGCATCCATAGCTGTCCTGAAGTCTTGTATTGATTTAGCATTGGCTACTAGTTCCCTTACATCTCTATGCATTGATAGCCTAAGCAGAAGTTGAACAAGAAACAATCAAAAGTTTTATCCCATTAATATGACATCTAAATGAAAAGGGTTTGTAAGAAAATATGAAAGCATAAAAGAAAAGTATTTTATAATCTTGTCAAAATAGATTTGTGGGATAAATTTCTTTAGCGCTTTACTCCCACTGCACACATGTTGTAAATAATTCGTCAACCATAAATAAAAAGAATCTCTAACAAACTGAATAAAATTATTTCATATAAAAAATTGCTAGCTCTTTTTTAATGGAATGATCCAGAAACAATTTAGCCCAATTAAAATATTTCCTTTCTCATTGTCCTTAAAAAAAACCCTTAAATATTGCAAGTTTAGAAGTTTAAACAGATAAAGATTATTTTTTAAGTGCACAGAACAATAAATATGTGCATTTAAGATTTATTTCAAATGCAAACCCATATAAAAAATAGTAATTATCAAGTTTTTTGTTTAAGAGAAATCTTATTGGGTTTTTAAAGGAAATATATTTATACTTACGCATGATGACAAATTTTAAAAACATGTCCTCTAATATAAGAAAGTGGACAGGGATATTTCTCTGCAAAGTCTAAGTACTCTAGTGTCATTTCCCAACTGTAAGGGCTCTTCCCATGGAACAAAGCCGGGTTGTGAAGATTTCCTTCTGTATAAAGACAATAAAATATGTGTTGACATGCAAAAATTAAACATGCACATAAATTTACTTAAGAGGAACATAATATCTATTACCATTTTCAGGGAGATTGGCTTATTTTTGTTTACCTAATGGTAGGTGTATCAGCAAGGTGGTGGTGGGAGGGGGGGGTGAGGTATTATTAACATCCCACAACACGGACTGGTCAGTTTTAGTTCAACTAATACATTTTAACCTGCCTGCACTCATGACTCCCTGAACACCTGTTTCTTGTAAACATCTGTGAACATCTTCCAAGTATTGAATGTTTCCATTCGCAAACACTGGAATCTTGACAGCTTCTCTGTGAATGTATGTTTACAAAACAGGAATACTGAAAAATGTCAAATATTGAAAGAAAATAAAAACTTAAATACCTGATACCGTAATGAAGAAGCTTACAATCATGCATAAAATTTGTGTTAACACTTGAAGCTTTTAAGTTAAATTATCAAAGAAAGCCTTAATAAATCATAGCTAAGAAACCTTAACAATAGAATGTAGTTAACAAGCCTAAATGATAAAACTTAGTTAACAAAACTAAACAATAAAGTTTTGCTAACATATCTAAACAAGAAAGCTTAGCTAACAAACCTAAACAAAGAAAGCTTAGCTAAGAAAGCTTAGCTAACAAATGTAAAGAAGAAAGCTGAGCTGGCAAACCTAAACAAAGAAAGCTTAGCTAAGAAAGCTTAGCTAACAAATGTAAAGAAGAAATCTGAGCTGGCAAACCTAAACAAAGAAAGCTTAGCTAACAAGTCTAAACAAAGAAATCTTAGCTAACAAATCTAAAAAAAAAAATTAAGCTAACAAACCTAAACACGAAAACTTACCTTACAAACCTAAAAAAGTAAAATTTAGCTAACAAACCTAACAGCTTTGATGTATGTCCAATCGGCCACTCCTGTCAGCATACCCTTTTGCTCCCTTGTTCTGCCATGAACAGTCAACAACTGGAAAAAAAAACAAACAGCTTTAATATTAATCGATGTGCAAACTACTAACTACCAACGGTATTTTCAACTTACTCCTAAAAAAGTACTGTTTGCTTCTTAATACATTTATGTCTTAACAAAATTTATTGGTGTCTAATATATTTTAAACAAGTAACTAATATTACTTCAGGTTTACCTGACAGCCAGCAGCTTCTAGCATTTTAGCATATCTGACAGTTTTCTCAAGAGATGGAAACACTCGTATTTTACAAGTGACAGGCACTTTGAGGGATTCATGACATGTTCTCACTGCAAATTATTTAATAGCGTTAAAGGCAAGTTTTAAATTTCTTGGAGTAGCAGCAATTTTAATGGCTAACTGTCACTAATGAACTGTCACTAGCGAACTGTTACTTCACTATAGCCATTTTCATTGTTTCTATAGAATAGTAGTTACTATCCTAGTGTCTCATTTTTATTTTACTTAGTTTACATGTTTTAATAATTGTAAAGCGCTTAGAGCTTTATGATTAAGCGCTATATAAAAATGCCTAAATAAATAAATAAATAAATAAATTGAATTATACTCAAGTAAAAAAAAATATGTTTTAGAACCTCTCCTGCAGTGTTTTTAAAAAAGGAATAAATTTATCTTTTTTTTTTGTATTGCTTTAGTAGAAAAGTAGCAAACATGCTTTTTTAGAAATTTACCATAGATAATTAGTAGGTAAGCAGGCTTTAATATTGCCTTCATTAACTACCTATACAGGCACGCATCGACTACAAGTTGTCTGTTCTCTGTCACAACTTTTTCTTGGATTCCTGCCCTTCCTATCTAACTGAACTTCTTTCTGTCTATTCACTCCTTCGACAGCTTCGCTCTTCTGCAGACACGCATATTCTGTCCGTTCCCAAGACACACACTAAAACATATGGTGAACGATCTTTCTCTTTCTGCGCCCCCAAACAATGGAATTTTTTGCCACTAAACATACGCAATATACCAACCACCCAGGCCTTCAAAACTGCACTAAAAACATATCTTTTTAAATTATGCTACCCTGACTGATTCCTCTCCTCTGCCGCCCATGGTTTGCCTTGTAAAAGTTATGTGGTGGGGTGGGTGAATATACATTGCTGTTCTTTATTTCATAAATGTATTTTATTTTAATGTCATGATTATGTCTCTTTTGATAACATTTTTATGTACAGCGCGGTGAGCCCAGCCCTAGGCTGGGGTACCACGCTATATAAGACGTCTTATTATTATTATAAAGTAGATGGGGGCTTACCCATTTTAGACAAGAGATCCCATTCATCCTGAAGAAATGCACCATAGTGTCCACGTTTGGCTATAACTTGTGGGCATCCTAAGTTTAAGTCAATGGCGTCACAGTAGGGCTCAGCTATCTGGGCTGCTTTTAGGAGTGTATCTGGATCATTGGCACAGAACTAAGGCAAAAAAATGTATCATGAAATGAATTAATAATTATTTCCCATAATGGTTCTCAAGTCAGTAAAGGCATTATAGACACTGCTTAGACCACACAGGATGCCCCATTTAAAAAAAAATCTAAGCAGTGAAGCAGTTAAACTGTGTAAGTGTTTGAGTTCTAGGCAAAAACTTTGCTCCACTGCATCAGCTTTGATCTCTAATACCTTTATCTATTAAAAAAAAAATTAACTAACAGGTAAAAGTATTACTATTGTAATAGGCTATAGGGAATAAAATAACCCTGTTAGTAAGACCTAAAATTAATTCAGTTTTCTTTTACATTTCTCAATACATTTGAAAAGTTATGAACATTTTATAAATTTACACATATCTTTAAATTATCAATCACAACAAAAATGTTCACCTGGACAATAAGTGGTCTGTCTTCTGGACATGTTTGCAGTGATTCTTTACGATAAATAGCATCTTTAACAAATACTGATGCATGAAACATTGGTGTATAACATAAATCAGCACCATACTTTCTACTAAGCATACGCCAAGCTAATTCACTTTGGTCCACCATTGGAGCAACCACAAATCTGGGAGACTTCAGAGTTTCTCTCCAAAACTTAAATCCATTTGTCATAGTGGAATTGCTGCTATCATTGGCCATTTATTTATCTTGAGTAAGTCACCTTTTGTGTCAGAAGTTACTGACAATATAAATTTAATGTGTAGATCTAGAAGTAGAATTGTCCTATATTGTAAACATCACCCACGTATGTATACATTTTTTTTAAAAATTGAATAAAATATTGTAAGTAATGTATGCCTATGTAATATATTCCAAAACACTTGTTTTTCAATCAGTGGGTGTAGGGCTTATTCATCTTGATTCACTGCACCTGTTGACATAGAAACATACACTGTATTTATTTGAAATATTTTTATATTTAGCATTATAAGTTATATTCTAAACAATAGTTTATCTCTCCATTGGTCATTTATTTATTGAGTTATTTGCTACATTTCCTAATTAGAGGTCTTAAATGTGGCCTGGCTGGTTGTCGTACAAGTATCCGGGAGCAGTGAAAATATGGAGCCGGACATAGACCATGTTTTTTTATGCACCAGAAATAATTTATGTGCCATGTGCATAATAAGGCATAGGAATTAGTTCACATTATAGTCTGGCCCAGTAACAGCATCTGAAAGACAGTGAATCTGTCCTTTGATATAAAAGTTTGAGAACCAAGTTTTGTCACAAATCCCCTACTAAAAAGTCAATATTTTAGTTTAGGCTAAGCATGGGTAATATAGCCTAGTATTACTACTAACCTATTAAGATTAAGAGCCTAGTATTAATTTCTATACTATGCCTATGCAGGCAGTAATATTTAACGATGTGTCTACTTATCCGGCGACCGGACGAATAATTCTCAAGACATTCGTCCGGCGACCAGGTCATGACCGCCGTAACAAAGTTGGATCAGATATCTGTCCATCAGCCTTGTCACATCAACGTTAATAGTCGATCATAAAACTGGCGTTGGAGATGCGTGGAGGGCGACGATTATACACTTCATTTCAAGAAGAAGAAAAAAAAAAGGGGGAGGGGAGGGAGGAATGCATACTGGAAGTAAGAAATACTGAGAACGAGAGAGAAGGGATAAATATGATAGTGAGGGCGATAAATAATTAAGGCAGGGAGGTTGAAAGTTCATAAAGAAATAGACCCTGCATCTTTATATAGGGCCAATATAATATGGTGTGCTGTTGGAGTAGCCTACTTCTCACGCAATATTAATAGCCTAAAATAAAACTTTTTGACAGTAGATCTATTGACAGTCTACTGGCGAGTATTTGTCTTGTTTTGTTTGGTTCATATTTTAAATTCAGGCAACTAGGTAGAGCTTTATAAGATATTTAAACCAAGATACCGGACTTTTTTTAATTTATATTTTGCTGGCGACCTCTTGTCACAGGACAACATGTCTGCTGGAATAATAAAACATATTCAGTCGTCCGGTGGTCACATGACATGCCCGCCGGAAGAATATCTCCTGCACTATTTGTCAGGTCGCCGGACGTGTACACACTGCCAATATTTGATTAGAAGTTTGCTCTTTAACTTTAAACAAATAATTATAATTATGATTAATATGATATTTGATAGCCTCGTCATAAGCTAAACAGAAACATCTATTACGATCTATGAATAAAAATCAAGATGCTAATGTAACCAACACTTGTTATTAATTGTATGTGTCCAGAGTTTCAGATTACCATGCATGTCATGGAAGCACTGACAGATTGCAGGCTGCCTTTTTTTTTTTTTTACATTACAGAGATATTCGGACGCCCAACAGTTTTGATTTTATTTAATTGACAAAAATAATGGGTTTAAGAGTTGAGGGGGGTGTAAAAAGAATCGTGAACTCAAATTCTCAATCTTGAAAATCTAGCAGTTTTAATCTAGCTTCAACTACAACTCTGCCTCTCGCCTGCTATCCCAGTCAGATCCGCCAGCTAGACCTCATGTCAGGTACAGGTAGGCTAAAATTTTTTTGAATTTATGTAAATTTGACGGTAATCCAATTTCACTTACACATTATGTTTAAAGCGAAGAATGTGCCTAGTAAATAATACATTTATATTAGTATGATGTATGCTCATAAGTAAAGTAGCGTTAGTCCTGTTAGGGAATAGCACAGGTGCTTTTGATTTACAACAAAAGATTTTATTTGTAAGCTCTCCTTTTAAGGAAAATAGTTATAAATGCGATATATAAACCTCTTATGAGGCCTAAATCAAAATAATTAAGATATTTTATAATTGCCCCCCTTCACTCAAGGAGTAAAAATTATTTTAAATAGGGCCTACACAAATTATTAATGCAATTTAAATGACAACTAACTGCTTCTTGTTCGTTTGAAAAAAAATGGAAAAGAAAAAAATTGTGCAAAAATAAAATTATCTATTTATATATCTAAAATATAATTAATTAAAAAAATATATAATTCAAAGTTGAAGGTACCTAAGGTCCTTAATAAACAATTTTTAGTAAAATACTAATGACTAATGCCAATGCCATGTCTAAGTCAAGTGTGGCAGTGGCGTAGATATTTTCCACCCCCTCCCGATAAACAAACTCTGCAACTGAACTAAAATGCCACCCCTCAATATTTGGAAAAAATTGCTACCCGAGAGATGGTCACCCCCTCTAATTATTTCTATGTTTGTTGAGACTTCGTTAAAGAGGATGTACATTTAGTTTAAATAAATTTATCTTTGAAATCAGTGTTTCGCACTTTTTTTTTTTTTTTTTTTTTTTTTTCGACTCCACAAAGTTCACAAAGGGTCGTGCGAGACACCCACGAAGCTTAAGTCTTCATTTTCATGCCCATCAATCGAACAGTTGGAGGGACATTTGTTACAGAAAATGTTATCAATTATCCAAAAATATCCTTCTTATTCTTATTATTATTATTATTAAATAAAATATAAAAAAAATTGCAAATAGATATCCTATTTCAGAGGCTAAAGTAATTGCACCTTCACCCCTCCCAAATGATCTTGGATTGTATTCCCATTATCCCATGTAGGGCGTATGCCTCCGTTCGGCAAAATATTATGAGAATATTAGCAAAAGGTTGACGTCCGAAACATGTGAATGTGCTAAATAATAATGCGAGCGTAACAGCTTTTACCCCATAATGTCACGTGAAATTACTTGAAGTCATGTGACAAGTGGTATCTAAAAATAGTTACAAGGGTAGTAATAACTTTTGTTTACCATAAGTTTTAGGCCTACTAATATTGTTTTTATACACGCTGAACAATACACGAAGGTAAATTTAACAGTGTGCTTAATTAAATTAGTACAAATGGGAAGTCAAAAGTCTGTGCGGTGTCCGTCTGTATAAATAGATGATGATAGTAGGTCTATAATTGAATTAACAGCAATAGATTACGAGTCCGGTCAGTCGGCAGTCGGGGTATAAATAACATAAGTTTTATTAATAAGTTAAGTAATAACAAGTAATAGTGATGACTAAGACTAATTACTAATAACAACACTATAAGATAATATAATTTCTTATTGTCTAATAACTTATATTTTATATATAATGATCAGATCATAAGTCATAAGTAATAAATTGAAATTACTTAAAATCGAAATTTTAAAATTAAAGACCTGACTGATTCAATTTGATTCACTGAGTCAACTTTAATTAATTAAGACTTAAACTTATACTTAGACTTAGTAGTAGTCTAAGTCTATGTCTTGATGATTGATGTTTGAATTTGAATGCAAGACTTAAAGGTAATCTACCACTTCAGCGTCGGCCAAGAAAAAATCCAGTTGTTCCGGTTGGAAGGGCTATTTAAACAACTATTCTTACATTGGAGTCTGTTAATATTTTTGCTTCTGTAGAGAGGCTATAAAGTTATATAGCACACTACTAACACATTTAAATAATTATTACTGCCAAGCTACCGATATGCCAGGAAGAAAAAGAGACTACAATTATTTTTTTTTATCCAGATAACGCGGATGTCCACACACAGAATGTGGAAAACGTGAATGCTCAGAAAGCGTAAACTGAAAAAACAGTTTGGCACAAGAAGCGCCGATGATCTTTCCCCTTCATATTTTCGTGGATTCATGTACCACAACCGTTTTCGTGGAAATTATATTTTTTTAAACTTCATTGTCAACTTGGGGGAGAACTATGCGTAATTCCATGTTAATACATTATCTTCTATTTCAAAAAAATAGTTTTTCTAATTTTAAAAAATTGTCTATTATTATGGGAATGAATACGTACAACCAATGTCATTAAAAATAATATAAGAATAGTTGTTTAAATAGCCCTTCAAACAGGAACAGCTGGATTTTTTCTTGGCTGACGCTCAAGGAGTAGATTACCGACTTAAATTAATTTAAGGCTGCGACTATCTATTCGCACCCGGGTATCAGAAGTGAGAGGTTGGGATTAAAAAAAACCTATTTAAAACATTAATATTATTGCTGGGTTATTGGGTTTGTTATGGCCCTAATTGTCAACACTAAAACTTAGTAATGAGTAATGTCAGTGTTTTTCTGTTAATTATTATTTATTTATAATTTATTAATTTAATTAGTAATTTAAATTTAAATTAATAAACACTTACTTTTAATTTAATTTTAAGTTCATATTTTTATTTTTATTCACTAGGCTGGCTGTCTACTTGTCTGCTATTATCAAAACTGTTTCATTCAATGCAATCAAAGACAAAGCATAAATATTTTGCTCAGTGTGAAAACTGTGATGCAATGATTGTAAATGTATGCCCTTACTGAATGCTATTGATAGGGGCTATTCATAAAAATCCCTCTCTTTTGGAACATTTTGCGCCCCCCTCCCACCCCCCACCCCCCATTGTCACACATTTTAAACACAAATTAGAAATTAGACACTTTATCACACATTTTAAAAATGTAAAAATTTGATTAGGCCTAGTTTTTATTAGTGAATTAGGGATTTAATCTGACCTTAATTAACTGGAACCAATGAATGTTAAATTCCATTATTAAATTATTAATTTATTTATAAAAATGTTTCTTCCCTTAGTTCTGCAATCATGAATTTACAAGGCACATTGTTTGTCATTTCATATACTGACTCAACAATACTTCGTCTTCAAAGGAAAATAAAAAGTTAATAATTTCCCTTTTGTAACTATAAAAAAAAAATGACTACTGGCTTTTCAAGTCATCGACCAAAGTCCTATGGTGCTATCTCCAGAAGTCATACTGAGGATAGAGAGTACCTTATACCACCACCACTGGAAGTAGATTCAGACGAAAGAGACGATGGGTCATATAATCAGTTGGTAAGTGCTAACAAAACACATTTAATAGCCATTAATACAATTGTTGTTTGAAATATTAATTAGCGGTCACCACTCGGGGCTATCTTAACAGAATTATCTGCATTATCTGAGGTTTGAAAGTTCAGAACTTGAAGTTATGTTTTCAAATTTTCACTCTTACTGAAAAGTATCTCTTTCTTTGACGTGTCCTATCTCTTTTAACCTGCCAACCCCCACAAAAGGGGGAATAACATGCTTGCTTGATATCTGGTAAGGCTTGCAGGTCGCTCTTTAGGAAGTCAGCCAGTACATGATTCCTCAACTATAACCCCTGGCAAGCTAAGTAAGTCTCCCCCATCTATTCAAATCACTATTTTTTTTTACTGATTCTGGATTCTACACCTGGTGTTAGGAATTAAATTTTATCATAAATTCCTGAAGATAGGTTTTCACATTAATCATTAATTGTATACAAAGATTCATAGCATCATGAAATTTTCACAGCCTCTTGACTGTTGGACTGTAGCTGAATATTAATTTGATCTTTTCCGTTTTGCAAGTAGAGCAACACGAACATAAAGTCCCATTACTTAAATAAGAAAGCGATTCTTAACATGCATAGATAAGTATGGGGCCAGTATGCGGTTAGGGAGCCCAGGGGCAACAACCCAGTAAAAGATTTGCAAAATCTAAACTGTAAGCGTTCTGTTAATGATTTTTCAAGCCTGTTAATAGTAGTCAAGCTGCTATATAGCTAGCCAGAAATAGTGTAATCGATTGCGCTAGTAGACTATGTCAAGAATGAAAAAGTTCACTCAGTAACTTTGTGATTGAAAGAAATAAAAACATGGTGTTTTGTTTTCTAGCAACAAATCAACTTGTTTACTATGAAAATAATAAAAGGAAACATTTTTTTTGCTGACTAATTTCAATATTTAAAAAAAAGAATTATTTTTTTTAGGTAAAAATCTACCTTTTAGAACTGTCAAGGCCTTTAACCCTTATTTATAAAATTTTAGTTATGGCATAAGTTATCCCCCCCCCCCCCCCCCC